ATGACGCGGCAAATTTTAATTCAGCCTTTACGTACCCGCGGGTAATAGGTACGGCCCGTGAAATTTTTTTACGGGTAAATTATTATCTCAGGAACCACGTAGGAGGCCGAAATTTTAGGGTAATGAACCCTTGCCCACGCTCAACCTTGCCAATTCAAATTCAGCGTTTCCGCGTTCTCGGGTATCACCTACGGGCTTGTGAAAGTTTTTACGGGTAAATTACTATCTCGGGAACCACGGAGTCTAGGGGATTGAAATTTTAGAGTAATAATCCCCTTCCCACGCTCAACCTTGCCTATTCAAATTCAGCGTTCCCGCGCTTTTGGGCATCACCTACGGGCTAACGAAGGTTTTTACGGGTAAATTACTATCTCGAGAACCACGGGGTCTACGAAGCTGAAGTTTTAGGGTAATGACCCCCTGCCCACGCTCAACCTCCCCATTCAAGCTCAGCGTTCCCGCGCTCTTGAGTATTACCTACGGCCTCGTGAAAATTTTGCCGGGTAAAGTTATCCCGGGAATCACAGAGGGATAATCACTCTTCAAAGTTTCAAATTACAAAGTAGTAGAAATCATTAAGAGGCATTCGTTCGGTAGGCGAAATTGCACAAACTGCATGCTCGGCTAGTGCTGTGTGGTTCGCGTTGTGGTGCACTGGCTAGCGTGTGCGCGTTGCTATTTATCATGCTTAGCCCCCAAAGTTCCTACTGAAGCTTCGAAATTTTCTATCTTGAACACAATACCTATGAACTTGCCTGGACAAACCCAGATAGCAGCGTTGTGGTCATGCGTTTTTGCGCTAAACTTGGAGCAGTCAGATCGTTAACAGTGTGAACGATTGCTCCCTTGTAAAATGGCGTTGGGTAGCTAAGAACGAAGAAGGCGCGTCCGTCTTTCAGATGTCATTGCTTTCCGGTCGCAGGTACAAAATAAATAGCAACGCGCACCAGACTAGCCGGTGCGATTATGCGTTTTGTGCAATTCACCCATCAAATGATTGCCTATTAATGATTTTCACTGCTTTATACTTTAGTCTACGCAAAAATAGTTCAGACATTGGAAAATTGTTAAAAATTTCACGCACCAGCGCATGAAAGCTGAATTCGAAACCTTGAAGGG